GGGCTGGCTGCATTCAAGCTGTTGGGTAAACTTATCCCAGCTCTCTTCCCTAGAGAGTTGATGGTGGAAAGGCATGGCAAGTGTTTTCCCTGAAGCACAGCATTGGGGTTGGAATTAGGGCTTTGGGTCAAGCCTCGCTATGAAGAGCCCTGCTAGCATAGTGCTATGGGAAGAGATGGCCCATTTCAAGGACATTAACCCCAAGGACGCTGGTAAAGTAATGAGGTCTGACCTCTCTTTGCCTCCCATCCAGAAGTGTGGAGTGCATGTTGTTCCAGGGCCCAGGTCCTCTGAAAAATCAGCCTCCTGCTGGGTTTTAGATGAGGGGTAGGAGCTTAGGTGACCTGTTTAAATAGCTACTGAATATTTGTGGGGGGGGAGGAAAAAAGAAAAAAAAAAAAAAAAAAAAGGTGAGGGGTGAACACGGAGCCTCTGCAGCAGTAATTTATTAGGCCAAATTCGCTCTTGTGTAACTAGACTGACTTTGGAGTTACACTAGGGATGCTTCGGCTTGTCCTTTTGACTCCTGACTCAAATTCCCTTGTACTAGTTCTGTGGGTTTGTGGTGGTGGTTTTTCCATTCCTCCTGCACACACACAAAATAAAAAAATCCCTGTGTAGCAAAAACATCCATCTATGGAGATTTTCAAGTATGGGGGTAGGCTCTTAGGAGGGGGCCTCACCATGGCTAGCTGGGAAATTGGGCAGGAAAAGAAGTTGTCAGGATACTACCTGAGAACAATAGTTGATGAATCAGCTGGTGCCGGTGTGAATAAACTGTTGTATGGGCTGCTACATTGCTCAGCTTCCACTGCCTACTGCCTGCATGTGGCTCTTGCTGATGATGGATAATAGTAGCTTTTGTGGCATTAATGAGATGAAAACAATCTAAATTGCTCCCACTATACCTTATCTGTGGGCATCTTATGAAAGAGAATTGTCCCGCTCACCAACCTGGAAGCAGGAGAGACTGAAGAGTTTCTGCCTCTTCCAGTGCAGTGAACTAGTGAAGAGCAAAAAGGACTTTTTCTTGTAATGCCTTGTCAGCCTTCACCCCTGGTTGCACCTTTAATCTTGCTTAAGAAGTTGCAGGTCTCAGTTGTACCTGCTGGCATTTGAACCCATGTTTATGGAAAACCTAGGTTTTGTACGTTGTAGGGTAAAATTGAAAAGTACTTGGGTAATATAGGAATCACGGGTTCCATTTTTAAAGTGACAAGCATTGAAGAGCTTGCATCTTGGTGAAAGTCAATGGGCCTAAGCTAGCTAAGTCATTGCAGTGCTTTTGAAGATGCTGTCTCCTGTGCAGTGCCTAGGCCACATCAAGGGGAATTTCTTGAAGACGTATCTCTTCTAGTTCCTAGGCAATTGCATGCTGACACCCCACCTGGTATCCGAAAGTAGTGCTGGGGTGGGGAGGTGCGTTTTAATTAGAGGGGCTCTGAGAGCTGCTCTAATGAAAGCGCCCAGAGTGTCGTGTATCAGTGTCCCCGCGCTGAAAAATGACAGCGGGGGCACTTTTAACTAAAGCTTGTCGAACAAGCTTTAGTTAAAGTGCCCCTGCTGCCATTTTTCAGTATGGGGATGCTGATACACGTGACGCTGGAGTCTGCTCTGATGCACATCAGAGTAGCCCTGCTGCACGTGTATAGGCGCCAAGAGCATCTCCTCCCAGTGAAGGGCTGCAAAATGCAACTACAGCGCTCTGTAATCAGAAGGCTTCAAAGTGGGGGTGGGCGGGTGGGTGTTTGAGTAATAAAAAAAAAAAAAAAAAAAAAAAAGGGTTCTTCCTTGTTCCTCAAAACCCAAAGCTGTTATGAGACACTAGTGCGCCCCTTTCTAACAGAACTCATTGGGTTAGGTATTAAACTGCTGTGTCCCACATACAAGGGATACAGTCAGATCCAAGTCCATGAAATACCAATTGTGGGGGTTGTATTTTGAAGGTAGAATGAGTCACATACTGGTGACTAGCAGGGACCGTCTCCTCAAGCAACTGGAAGGAGAGTTAAAAACACGGAAGCCATTGTCTTGCTTCCTGTGCGAGTATTTTGGGTGAAAGGGCTCTCGGAGCTGTGTGACTCATGCGAGGCATTTTTTTCCCCCATCTTAATGTATTTTAGGAACAGAGACCTGCATTCCCAATGATGCCCAGCCAGTCTGAAGCACCCTGTTCCCTGAGCTTTGGATCCCTCCCTCCATTGAGAACAGGAGACCATGGTAAGAAAAGTCCTGTTGCAAGATAAACCCAACATGTTTGGGGTTTCTCTCTGTTTTGATTCCTCTCTTTATAAGCATTCTCCCCTGCTGGTGTTAGCATTATCCCCATTTTTCCACATAACGGGGATTACAAAGTTCTTGGGTCTTGCTCAGCATTATGCATTGAACAAGTGGCCATAAATAAAACCCAGCAGTTCCTTATTCCATCAGCTAGGTACATTTGAGAGGATCAGTCAAGTCTTCAGATCCCATGAGAAGGGGAAAACGAGACAGCCAGTCTCTCTCGTGCTGCAGTTCCAGTGGTATTTCCTTGAGCCCTCCGTCCCTTTTAGAAATACAGCTAGCCCATTCGTTCTCCTCCCTTGCTTGTGCCTGACAATCCTCCTCTTGTCTCTTGTTGAGCCTGTTTTCTTCTGATTTTTACCTATGCGACCATGTGTGCATGGGGATGGGAGAAAAGCCAGTTTCCTGCACTCTAACCTCATACCATAGCTCCCAGCACAAACCCTCTGATTTTTCTCACTCTGAAGGGTAACACTAAACACTTGGCTGCTATGTTGTCCCCTCTTCTCATCCAGTGGCGTTGGGGTTGCTGCTGTTATGTTTGGTCCTGGTTTAACTTGCAGTATCTGCTAGGATGCCAGCATACTCTGCTGCTGTTCATGGTTGGAGGGGAGCATTTTTGCTGTCTTCCATCCTCCAGCTGCTGCTGTGCGTGTCCCAGATAGTGCTGCAGTATTGATCCAGGTGACTACCAAAGGGGGTGCAGGAGCACAGTGTTTGGTTTGGCATGGCATAGGGAGGACATTGCTGGGGAAAGGGGCATCCACAGGGTGACTTGCCCAGCAAGTCTTGGAACAGCCCTTGCCCTGCACTGGGTGCTCTCCGCCAGCATGTCGTATGCTCCTCTGCACATGTGCAGGGGCCAGGCCAAGCACAGGGGGTCTACGTGCTTCCTGTGGCAGTGTGTGATATTTGCTAGGGCACCTCCTAGCAAATATGCTCTCAAATTGGTGCCCACCTGGGGCCCACTCTTGCTAGCTTCTGAAACCCTTTTGTTGTGAGAGAGTGGCTGGCAAAACTGCCTGGTAGGAAACGGGGCGAGTGGCTTTTAATGCAACCCATCCCAAAAGCAAGGGGAGAAGCAAAGTGGAGGATGGGCCCTGTGTGGCCACATCTGCGTCTTGACTGGAGAATGGGCCAAATGAGTTACTCTGAGGTGGGTTAGCTTGAGAGGAGAGCTCTGGAGAGACCCCTTCATGCATAAGTACAGCAGCAAGGATGTAACCCAGGCAAACCCAGCAGGGGTGGCTCTGACCAAATGGAGCTTGTGCCGTGGGTTTGCGTGGTGCCTTGCTCCAGCCCCGGCAGTGTGAGTCAGCAGGGATGTGGGTGGTGAATTCATTGACTCAGATACAGTCACACATCCTGGGGTCCCAAGTTTGCCGCAAGGCTGGGACAGAGGTGAGGCTGCCGACAGCTATTGACTTTGGGCTTATTGCCTGATGATAACTCCCTTGCAGATTGCTTGGTTAATAAGTCACTGAGGCTGAAAGTCCTCACTTGAAAATCTGTAGCATGCTGGCCTTGCTCCAGGCCTCTCTGGGGATTTGGAGTTGCCGCAGGACCCCTGAACAGACTGGCACTCGCTGCGCGCTTGGCAGTTGGAAGAGGCCATAGAGCCGAGCCAGCTAGGAGAAGGGATGAGCCTGCTTCCAGGAGACCGGGCAGGGTTACATCCTCGGCCAGCAAGCATCTGCTCTGTGGTGGGAGTTTGCAGGGGCTTCTCTAACACATCCCCATCGGTCAGGACTGGGTCTGCTTCTGCTACGTCTGTGCTGCAGACAGACCCTTTAAATGACCGACCTTGACATTGCTGATAGTGTGCTGTCGCAGCACAGAGCTCTGTGTGGTACGCAAACCCACCGGCTCTCCTAAGCTGGGTTTTGCAGCCCACACCAAGCTCTGCTGCTTTGAGACGTTTTTCTAGACAGAGCTGAGCGAGCTAGTGCTCAGGCAGGATGCGTTTACATTGCAATCAGGTGTGGTGTACCATTACTTCCCCATAGCCTGTGTCGGTCAAGATTGCCGGTACCTGCGTGCATGCACACACCTCTCCTTGGGTGAGTGTGCTAGCCCTGTGCTTAGGACCTCCTGGGTTTTCTTCACCTTAGAAGGGGGTCCAGAGCAGTTCTGTGCTGCTCAGACATGCCAATTTTGGCCGTCGTTGGCACTGAGACGAGGCTTGCAGTGAATACCCAAATGGATGAGAAGATAGCCATCCTGGCCAATGGACTAGTTCAGATAAATGGGCAGGTATGTGGTAGGGCCTCAGCTGCACTGTAAGGCTGCTCTAGTGGTGTTCCCCAGCCTTCTAGGCAGGATGCAAGGGAAACAAGTTGCCGGATGCTTGATGGTGCCATGTGAGGAGTACCGAGTCCTAACTTTGGTCCCCTTGCTCTTGGTATTCCAGGGGCTGAGACTGGGCAGACCGATGTCATTCCAGGGAGAGATGGCTCTGAGCTGTGGGTACTGCCTGGCCAGCCTGAGCAGGTGAAACACCTTGCTCGTGGTTGGTAGGGCAGGGGTGTACTCTGCTAGGCACTCAGGTGCTGCTGGGGACTTAGTGCCCCATCAAGCAAAGTGAATAATCATGAGCAGACTGGGCTGTAGGTGGGAGTGCAGCCTACCCAGGATAGCTGAGGAAAGCACTGCTCCATGGGCCCTGTCCTTCCCCCTCCTGCCCTATGGGCTGCTGGCTGGTTCTTCACATCTGCCTGCAAGAAGCATTTGCTCCCTGACTGCCTGCGCATGTGACCTCTGCCTGCAGCACAGATCTAGCCAGTCCAGAAAGCACCAAAGGGTGAGGTTTGCAGCAAAGGAAGCAAGCTGTACAGCAAAGGAAGCAAGTTCTGCAGCTCAGGAGCGGGTGCAGCTGGCTCCATAGGCGTTTGGCCTACTGAATGGAAGCTAGCACTAAATTTGCTCTACTCCCACAGACTTCTGGTCCAGGCTCTGTCTCTTGGGCTTAGCAACAGGGATACTTACTGACCTGCTGTGACCTCTGACCCCTAGAGTCACCTGGGGCATTGGGTCACTGGGATTCCTGCACTCCAGACTGCATGAGGTCATCGGAGAATTCGGCTTTCTTGGGATAATGCAGCCCATGACAGCATGTGGGTTTTTTCTTTCCCCTGTTTATCTGGTTTTCTATGCCCAAAACATTTACTTTGGCTTGACTTTAAGCCTTGTGTCCCTCCATGTGCTCATGGAATAATAATTGCCATGTCTGCAGTGTTTCTGCTTTCTAAGCATTTTGCAAATTTATTCCTGCCTCTAATTCCTCCAGGAGGTAGGTCATAATGATTCCTTTTTTCTTTTTTTTTTTTTTTTTTAACAGATGGGGAAATCGAGGCACGGCCAGGGTAAGTAACTAGCCTAGGGCTGCAGGGGGTGAGTGTTGGCAAAGAAATGGCTTCAAAGTTGTGGTGCGCGGCACACAAGACCCCACTCCGCTATGAGCAAAGATTGAAATTCTCTCTTGGGAGCTGTTGGATGTCTAACCTTGGCTGGAGGCCAGTCTGCCTCTTGTGGGGCAGGGGTAGAGGGAGGTAGCTTATCTTGACAGCTCTTTCATTTTAAATTTCACAACTAAACAACCAGTTAAGTCTTCTTAAAATGAGGGATCATTGACTTGTCTTAATTTACACAGTCGGTATCATACAGGGCCTGATCTGTTGATCTCAATGGGGTCAGGGGATCTTTTCACCAGTGATTGCAACAGAGTTTGGATCAGGCTATTGGTGCCAATGAAATGTAGCTGCTATGGCAAATAAAGGCTCGGTGAATGTTAAACAGACGCAGCTCCAGGTGCAGCGGTATGAGATCCTGGACACCCCCCACCCTGGTTCCCACACTGTCTCAACCTTGACTGTAAGCAATGTCGTTTCTGGGGTGAGTGGTTTGGTTCAGCATCCATAGCCCATTCGAGCCTTGATGCCTTTACCAATTAGTTTCAGCTCTGGTGGGAATTGTAATGATGTAGGCACCCTGGGGATTGGCCCGAGATAAAATAGAAAATTTAGTTTCATCTAATTTCAGAGCTTTGTCATCATTTTGGAGTTTATGATTGTTTTTAATAGATATCGCTATAAAACATCCCATTTGGAGAACAAATGTTTCTGGTATCTTGTAAATAAAGAGTTGATTTTATGCAGGGGTTTTGCTGAAACTACGTTGTTCTTCAAGAATCTGCGCACATGAATGGAATTGCCAGTGGATCTTGGGGTGGGGGGGGGTGAGGCTTTGAGGCACCTAAAAGTAGTAAATCTGTTTATTCAAACGTGCCAAGTACTGCTTGGACAATAAGATGACAGACTTGCAGTTTGAAGTCAAGACATGACAAGGCGAGATGTAGAGCAGAGGAAAAGTGTATCCAGGGAGCACGCAACAGTGGGAAGTGGATGCAGATGCATTGGCTAGTAATCATGCACCTTGAGGATTATGTTACTTATATAATGTATAAGGCTTATTATTAGTGTAAGATGAGGGAGATTCTGCTTTCTAGGAGACACTTGAAAGAAAGGCCTGGGCATGTCAGGTCTGGTAAAGAAGGACGGGACCCGGGCTTCCAGACACAGAAGTAGCATCATGGCAGGCAGCACGCATTTGCAAAAGGGTCGGGTGTGGAGCCGAGTTGTGCAGCCTGTGGAGGGAAGCAGCTATGGAAAAAACATTTTCACGAGAGTTACAGCTGTGCACATGAAACCTCAGCCTTGTCTTGCTTTGATGTGGAAATATGATTTCTGCCTCAGCCAGTGATGTCAGAGGTACTGGGGACTGGCTGGCCCTTTACAGTGGATGCTTTCTGTGCTATGTATGCAGTAGACTTTAAATATAAAGCACCTGTTAATAAGTGGAGGATGCAGCCAGTCTGGTTAGTCTCTTTGGTGTCCTTTTTAGAGACAACTTTATTGGGTATCTTGGAAGGGACAAGCCCCTGGACTAGCTGAGCAGGACAGGTCTATGTTGCTGGGTTAACGTGGGTGATATGCCCCTTGGTCTGAGTGCCTGCCATGAACAGCCACAGTGCAAACTCATGCTTCAGTTTTGATCCTTGCTGGCGCTGTACCTCCCCAGCTGTCAGTGCTGTGAGGGCTGTCACCCATGGTCCTTACTGGGGCATTACGTTTTACCAGTGAACTGTACTTGGGGGCACATGATGGGAATTGTGGGAAGACGTTGGAGTGCCTGCAGGAAAAGTGGGTGGGGGGAGTCGCTAGTGGGGGCCGAGCTGACTGTACCTGGGGTGCAGCCAGCGTGATCCTGGAGCTGCCCTTGGCTCCTTTTCACCACTGTGCCTTCTCCCCCTGACACCTGCTGCCAGGCTAGGATAACTCTGCCTCCTCTGAACAGCAGTGCCCATGTGGGCCAGCTGGCTGACGTGCTGGCATGAGATGGCCCTCCTCAAATAGCCACATGTGGGCAGAAATGCCAGCAGAGATTGTGGGGCTGGGACCCTGCTTCACACTCTGCTGTAGTCTCCCTTCCTTCTGGGCTGCCTTTCCCCTGTTCCTACGTAGGTCCCTCCTTCATCTTGTGCCCTGCAGGCTTTGCCCGCTTCTGCCTCCCCTTCCTTTAAGTGCAATCGGACTGGTGCTGTCCGCCTCCTTTCCCTCTGGTTCCGCTTTATTTTAGGCAGTCAGTGACTCACTGCAAAGGTATCTTCCCTGTTTGCATATCCGCTGAGAGCTCTCCCTGCAGGAGTGGCAACTGGGCAGGGTGAGGCTGTTGCCGGAGTGGGAACGTGGACAGCCCTGGCGCAGCAGGCTGAGACGGAGCTGGGCAGCAGGTGGATCCAACTCTTGGGAGCTACCAGTGAGCATTCGAGTCCCAGAGGTGGGAGAGTGGAGATTAGATGGGAGTCCAGAAAGACTTTGCTCAGCAGCTCCCAACAGGAGAGAAACAAATCTGAAGAGCCCAAGGAAATGGGTAATTCTCTTCTAAGCAGGGCCCCAGGAAAGCAGGTGCCTCAGGGGGCAGGGAAAATCCTGCTGTGGGTTTAAACGAGTGGTGGAGGGGATGTGAAAGTTTCGGCTTATTTGTTGGGAATCATCATTGGTTTTGTCCTTTTAGTAGGCCCATTGTTTGAACACGCAGCTGGGAGAGAGCGCTGGGACTCTTGCATAGCATATACCCACTGCTGTTGTAAGAAGCCCAGGAAACTTTTTTTCCTCCTGCCTGCCTGTCTGGTATATGGGACTGAACTGCCAACCTCTAGGTGCATGTGGAGGGAGATTATAGGGAACTTGCCTTATCTCTTGCCTTTCTTTAATGAGGGAGTTTTGTCTTGAACTTATTTTCAAGCAGTGTGCCTCTGTAGGATCTCTGTGGTGCTGAAGTAGAAAAAGGATGGCTTAAAATGGCAAGGTTACCACTGCTTAGGTGAGTCTGATTCTGGGTTTCAACCCACAGACCCTGGGCTGAGGTAAGTGTCCTAAGATTGGTGAGTTGACTGGAAACGGGGAAGTACTTGGAGACGCTTGAGCTCTTCTTAAGCTTCCCGCAGGACCTGGTTGCATCTTTGGAGAAGCATCTGCACTTGTTTGCCTTGGAAACCACTGAGCTTCATGCATCGCTGCAACAGGTCTGGAATTCCCCTGTCATTAAACTGGTGCTGGTTTAACCATATGATGCCCCAGATCATTTTTAGATAGCGGACCGGAAGTGACTGTGGAACGGCAAAACGGCGGGCCAGCATGCTGCAGACTGGAACTAACTAGCATCAGCCACCCCTTTTTTATACTCGGTATAAAAAAGGGTTGGCTGCCAGTCCACAGTATACCAGTCACTTCTGGTCCAGAAGCCAGCCCTCCTACGGACCGGCAGTCAACCCTTTGTGCCATGGCCCAGGGGTTGGGAACCTCTGCCCCAGATCATCCCCATCCTGACTTCAGTTGAATGACACGACCCTGGGAATGCATTGGTTGGTTAAATAGAGGCTTACACCCATAGAGGTGTATTTCTGGTTGGCAAAATGCCATTACTGCAGATCTTGTCTGAGCTGGTTCCTCCCCTCCGCCACCCTCCCCGCTTCATTGGAATATGTTCTCTCTAACAGAAGCATCTTTTGGTAATAGCAAGTCATAATTAACCTGCTCCTTGGGGATTCATCTGTTGTTGTGACCTGATTGTTCAGGTAGCTCCCTTCTGCTCGCTGCACTGTTATGGCATGGTCAGAACCCCTCATCTTCCATCCAGTATTTCAGCTGGGTAGGCAGAGTACAACAAAGACAGCAATACACTGGAAACAAGATTCAGAAGCAGCATGAGCTGGTGTAATTTGAACCCACAGGGCTCTTTCATCTTGCTCTGTCTTGCATGTCCTCCCCCCACTGCAAGTCTTGGTGGGCTGCTTTTCCTGATATAAATGCTACCTTCCTGCTCCTCTGGGTTTGCAGGTTCCACTGGTTCATGTGCACAGTTTAACTGCGTGCAGCTGTCGCCAGCACGGATTGCCTCGGTCAGTGCCGGGATGCTGATGGGCAAGATGCTGAAATTCTTGCTGCCCTTGGTTGCAATGCAAAGTATGCACCAAAGCACAAAACTTTCCATCAGTATGTGACCATGGAAAATGTGGACTAGCGAGAAGCGAAACTACTGCTAGACGAGGCGCCAAAGGGAAAAGCCTCTAAAATTACTCTCGGGGAGCACCGTCTCCAAGCAAGTCTCTTCCAACTGTTACTAATTCCGTCAGATTTTTCTTTCCCCCTTAAGACTTGAAAGCTGCTCCTGAGTGGCCCGCCAGAGATAACCTCCGTCTGGCTGGAAATGAAAGAGCAAACAAATGCCTCTCAAGAGCCAGACCCTTTTTTAAGCGTCACAAATGCCTGCCTTTTCTGCAGCAGCACCAGGGACTAATCTGTCTTAAATGAGCCTGGCTGTCTGCAGAGAAGATGCTTTTCCTTCACCCTGTCAGATAGCATTTTAAATCTCCATTGCAAAGCTTAAAGGCTTCCCCGAGTGACTGTTAACCTGGTTAGGCCCCATTTTGCAGTGGTAAATCCAATCCAGGGTCCTTGGAGGAGGCATGTGTGAGGAATCCAGCTGTCCTAGTCTCATGCAGCTAAAACCTTTGTGCCACAAGATATGATTGTGTATTCTCTGAAGATATAGATGTGCGTGTGTGTGTATACTCATTAGTAGTCTGTGGCAAGGTTCCATTAATAGCTGATAATGGAGATTGTGGGTCCAGCTTTTATAGACATTAAATCCTAATGGTCTGAGAGAAGAGTCAACATGCAATTGTGTGCCGAATGTCTTGAGTATTGATATTCATTTGGAGATTTAGCTTGCAAACTCTTTGGGCAGGAACACTATCCAACTACGTCACTGAATGGTGCGTGAGCTGATAGGGCCCATGCTGGGTTGATGCGGTTAGGTGCCACCATCAAACAACTGTACTGTAACTTGAAACAGTTGGCCTTTTCTGTCTCTAATCGTGGAAGATTGTTTGTTTCTCTGTATTTATAAAACTTGCCCACTGAACATGGTATTTTTACATGCTTTTCCTTTGGATGAAGTGACTTGTACTCCCCAACAAACTGATTTTTTTTTTTTTTCTTCTTCCTCCCCTGTAGCTCTCTGCAGTCCCCACCTACATGTAATTGCATGCCTGTGTTGTGTCTCTGTTCTATGTGGAACACTTTTATGGCTAGTTTCCCATTTTATGGTGCCTTAAATGTAGCACCTTTTCCATTTCTGCTTCAATGAAGGTGTTAATTAGGGCTGTGCGAAACGGCACTGTTCTGTTTCACCTTGTGTTTCGACGGTTTGACAGAACATTCGTCTCGTATTTCATTTCGAGTCGGAATAGCTGTTCCGTTCCATCCCGTCAAAACAGAAAAGCTGTTTTGACCCTGTTTCGAGTTTCGCTAGGGATAGGGAGGCAGCCCAGCTGGACTGACTTCCCATCCCCAGCCTGTGGTTGAAACGTTTCGAGGCCATTTCAACAGCCTTTGTTTCGTTCCAATTTTGCTGTTTCAACCTTGAACTTGGTCGGAATGAAACGGCCGGTGAAATTTTGCACAGCCCTGGTGTTAATCATGGCATATATGTAATACGTCTTGGGGGGGTGGAGTCCAACATGTTGAAGTGGACTGGCTTTGCCAACCCTAGGTCCAGGCAGGGTAGGGGTTTTCCCTTCAAAGGTGCAAAGGTGTCTGGTTATCTGTTGCTTTCAGTTTTTCCTGTTTGCATTATCTATAATGTATTTGCATCTGGTGCTCTTGGCAACAGCACAGCCCCCAGCAGAGATCCCTGTCTGACTGCCAGAAGCTGGACTCTAACTGGTTAGACCTGATTGAGGGAGTAAACTCTGGTTATCTGTTGCTTTCAGTTTTTCCTGTTTGCATTATCTATAATGTATTTGCATCTGGTGCTCTTGGCAACAGCACAGCCCCCAGCAGAGATCCCTGTCTGACTGCCAGAAGCTGGACTCTAACTGGTTAGACCTGATTGAGGGAGTAAACGGGATAAGTGTCTGGTTATCTGTTGCTTTCAGTTTTTCCTGGTTGCATTATCTATAATGTATTTGCTTCTGGTGCTCTTGGCAACAGCACAACCCCCAGCAGAGATCCCTGTCTGACTGCCAGGAGCTGGACTCTAACTGGTTAGACCTGAATGAGGGAGTAAACTGGGGATAAGTTACAGTCAATTTGCAGAGGGCTACTAGCACTTCAATACTAAACAGCTGAGTAACACTACACACATACAGACACACATGTAGACATGCATGCAAGCACTTGACTGGGCTGCCCTTTTGGTGAGGCTCAAGTAGAAAAGGTGTTGGGGGCCTGTTAGGTCAGCTAATGCTTTTCTAGGGCAATAGCAGAGCTGTCTCAGCTGGATGTCTGTACCATCTTGTGATAGAGAACCTTGAGCTTTGCAGATGGAAAGTATCATAGGTGAGTTAAAGTGTCTGGAGAAGTAAAAGATCATTATACTAGTTAGTGGAGATAACAGATGCACTGCATCTCCTACCTTGCCTCGTTTCCCCATCACTGTCAGATTGTCTCTACTGTGTCTTCTCCAGAGCTTTGTCCTGTCTAGCTTTCAGTGGGACCTTGCCATTGCCCCAGAGAGGCTACCGTAGAGTCCCTTTAGCTCTTGCCGCTGGGAACAAAAGCAGTGTGTGCTTTGAGGACATATCATTACCCTTTTCTGTGTTTGAGTGCTTGACTCCCCTTTATTGGTCCTGTCCCTGAACTATTTATTGCTTCTGAGATAATCTGACTTGCTCTGATACCACGGGGGAATATTGAAGTACTGATTGGGTCATTGTTGAAACAAGGCAGCCAGGTCTACAGCCTGGCTCATCTCTGTTTGGGGAAGGTTTGATCCTTGGATTGCTTGCTGGAGGACAGGCTGCACAAAGAAAAGATTGGTTAGTGGACAGTTGTTGCCTTTTTCCCCAGGATGGAGGAAGTGATTCTACCTTTTCTCCTTCCTGGTGTGCCTCCTTGGCTAGAAAGTATCCAGGTTGTAGCCATATTGGTCTAGAGAAAAAAACAATTGGGGGATCATGGTAAAAGTGATATCTTTTTATTAGAACAAGATTCTTGCAAAAAAAAAATTCTTTAATTGCAAGTTTTCGGACACGCACCCTTCATCAGGCATCGGGGAAAAGATTATAAAAGTCCTCCTGGGTAAAAATGAAAGAATACACTTGGCTAGAATATACTCACAGCCCTTTATTTCTCCTTCCAGGCAGCCTCCTCAGACACTTCCTAGTGTTTAAGGCTTGAAGGGGCCATTTATAATAATCTGGTCAGGGCTCCTGCATAATCTAAGCCCCAGCATTTCCTTCAGTGACTCTTGCATCAAGCCTAGTCCCTTACTGAACTACAGCACATCATTTAGAACCGACCCAGTCTTGAAGGGAAGAGCCCCAAGCGTGGCAAATACAGCTCAGCTGGGCTGATCTGGTCCAAATACTAACTACATCTGCTGTGCCTATAAAAGGTCTTATTTCTGGCTTGGATTTTTTCTTTTATTCTAGCTTTTAGTTCATGGATCTTGTTCTCCTTCTGTCTGTCAGGCTAAAGGCACCACTGGCATTTGCCCAAAGATGAAATCCAGTTTCACTGGGAACAGAACTGGGTCAGGAAAAAAGGCATCCAAGTTTGTATTCTGATATTTCCCCTAACCTGCCCTCTGTTCACACTCACTTAGGCTTGATGATCCTTTTTTTTTTTTACCTGGGCTGGTATAGAATGGATGGGAAACTTGCATGTCTCAGAAATGTGTGACTATCCCTCCAAAAAAAAAAAAAAAAGACACTTTTTTGGATCTCAAGACAAACCTCTCTAAAACAAAGGCAGCACCCCATTGTGCTAAAAAGATCCATGAGTAGATTCCCTGCCTTACAGGGATAAAACCATGAGGGTTAGACCTACATTTTAACTTTTTAAATTTGGCCTATCGCATTCATGTGACTCTGGGAGCCAGAGCTTTAAGACTGATATCACAAGAACTAGCAGTACTGCCTCCCTGAGGCTCTCTGGCTGTGTAAAAATATGTTAAAGTAGCCCGATCATAAATCAGAATTGGAGTGCTTTTGCTGTCGTCTGCAGGTGGATCCGTTCCCAGCGAGTTCTCCTCTGATCCTATGCGGAGCTTGGGAGTAGCACTGTGCATACAAGCAAAACCACCAGGAGTTTGAACAAACTTGCCTCAAACTATTTATTAGGCATCTGGAAACTCTTTGTCATCCCCACTATCTATCTGAGCAGGGCTGTTTGGACCTGGAGGAGCAATTTAGATAAATATGGAATCCAGACAAGTAAGCTGGCTTCTTTCTTAATATTAATTATCTGTAAAGTTTAGAGGCCTTCAGTTGGATTGGAGCGGGGGGGAGGGTGCATGGGAGGGCAGGGGAAAGGGTGTCTGTTGATGTATAGTTGGAAATCTCCACCTTGAGAGCTGATTTCTTATTCTTATGGCTGTTTGACTGTTGCTTTGTTCCCTAGACTCTTGCCTCCTATAGATCAGATGGAGGAGGAAGATGGAACCAACCTCTCATCAGTGGATGCCAGCTGTGAGTGTTTCTTTGGCAGTGTCTTAGCTGGTTGTTGTGAACAATAGACAAGGAAGCAATCAGCAAGTATACTGCCCTAGAAGTGCTGCACATTGTTGGGCCTGCATCGCACCTCGTCTTGTCACTGAGTAAGCCTCTAGGTTGGAGCCCTGCCCGCCCCTGCCGGTCCCACCCCATGCCCTGTTCTGAATTGGAGGTCAGGGCAGCAAGTGCTTTTGCTGGAAGAAGGGAGAGAAAACGAGGGAAGCTGTCGGGCCTGGATGACACGGTGACTTGCTTCATGCAAACAGATGAAAGAGAAGCCAAGCAAGCTGCTGCTCACTCCCTCCACTTCCACCCACCTGTGCGCTTGTGGATGCAGGAAAATAACATTTCCAGCCATTGACCGCAAATGTCAAGGATGTCGGTAGCACTTTTACCCATGAGGAATTATCTGGGCTCGAGCCTTGGGCTGGTAACAAGGAAACACTGCTTGTGTTTTTTTTTCGCCATAGGGCCCTGGAGTGGGGCAGCAAGAAGCTTTCTCCTGTGGCCGCTGCTGCTTCTAGGCTCTGTT